GTAGAGATCTTCAGGTAGCTGGATAAAGATGGAGTGGATGGAGTGAATCTTATAAAGTTAGGATTTACACTGAGAGTTTGCTAGACTGCAGCCTGGTTTTGCCTAGATACTCAGACTTGCCCAAGGCCTAGCCTGATGCCGTGTAAGTGCCGTATCTGTGCCGCCATAGATGGAGTGGCAGGACTGGGGCATGGGGCTGATGAGCTTGGTTTCTTCATGGGAGCCTTTGAACTAGGTGAGACTGAGAATCTTGAAATTCAAGGAAAACTAGGATATTACTTTCCATTTGTAGGTCGAGAACTAGTCCTTTTTTATTGACTACTATTTGCATATCAGTAATCCTTTTATTCTTCCGTTTTCTATTACTGCTATTTCAAGAGATCCTTACATCTGAAGATAACCGGTACCAGAAAACCACTACTTTAAGAGAATCGACTTAAAACTGAATCAGACATTTAAAACAAACAGTAAAACTTTTTAAAAAGATTTTATTGGGACTAAGTCTTAAAAAGTTAAAAAGGAAAGTTGAATCTAAGTTTGTATTAAGTTATGTAACAGAAATTTGGGATATGATGCAGCACTATGTTGTTTCTTAGAACAAAGATTGAAGGTTGGCTTCTGTGGCAGAATCATAAAGTGGGTGATCTTTGTACAAGCGTCAAATTCTCCCAAGGGCCTCTCTTAATCTTCTGATACACAAACCATTCTCTTGAAGAGTCTGCCTCTCATGTAATCATCTCTGTTGACTTTTTCTTCCTTAGTTGTCACCCATTCAACTCTTTGATCCATATTTGTCAGTGACTGCGTGTGACTGAAGCAGTTCTCCAGTGTCGTTTTTATCAACTTTATGTAAAACCTGCAGGTTCACGTTACAAGTGAACCACATTGTATTTGCATTCTTACTCTGTGATACTAACCAACCAAGAAAGTAAGCAGGAACAGATGCTGATGTTCATGAGGAGTAAACGCTAAGTGATGGCTTTGTCAGTGTTATGACGACCTGTTGTTCCTTATGCCTCCTGGTAGCTACAGGGACTCAAAGATCGATTGCTAAAGTAGTTAGGGACACCCCCGCCCCCCATATTATGTTACCTTCAGAGCACTCAGTAGGGCTTAGTGGGCTTTGCAATCAACCACATGTAGACTTGTATGTCATTCCTGGCACTTAACTAGGTTATATAACCTTGGGTGAGTTATTCACAGAACTTCAGATTCTTAATTTGTGATGGGGAGTAATGAAAGCACCCTTGCCGAGTGGTCATGGGGATTAGAGCCCATGTATGTAAAACTCCTGAGGAGTACACAGTGCGTGCAGATCAAGAAATGATCCCTATTAGGGTTGCTGTTCTGTTTATGTGGTGCCTTACATTTTATATGAGTCTTTCAGATTTAATTCAGGTGGAAGAACTTAAATTTTGGCCAAGTTACTGAAGATTTTTAAGGTGTGCAGTGACTTGAGCTAAATTTCAGAAGATTCTATTTGGTGACTGGTATGTCATGGATTAGACCGTATAATTTGATAGCCATTTTCTTCAGGCCATGGATGAGAACACTGAGGCCCAAGGAAATCACGTAACTTTATGAGGATCACGTGGTTTATATCTGGCAGAGCCAAAGCCAGAACCCAATCTTCCTTCTCTTTACTGTATTTTCCCACCACATAGTCGCTCATTGGCAAGTGAAACAATTAAAAAGGCCATCATAACTTGTTCAGGAACAAAGTGATAAAGGTCTGACATGCTGAATGAAAGTGGGAACGGGAGGGAGTGGACAAAGGCAGCAGTCACTGAAAACAAGGGCAGATTAGATTTGGCCACTGATTGGCTCAGCTCTGCTCCTCACGAAGGGAAGCAAGGGTCTAAACTTTAAAGCCTGGTCAGATGACCATACAGTTAATTAAACTAAAATAAGTAAAGTTTGTTGGTTTTGTTGTTTCCTGATGAATTTAAAGGGACCGCCTTGTCCACAAGGAAATATGTAGGATTAAAGGTAGAAGACGATGCCAGTGCAAAAGAAAGAAATTTGAGACTCTAATGCCAAAGGAGGAGCATTGAAACCACTGTACGGTCTATAAGTCTGTGCACCTCTGTGTGTGTGTGTGTGTGTGTTAAACTGGACTCTGTGGCATATTCCCAATTCACGACTGAGCCACATTGTGATATTATATAACTTACTGCCCAGTTATAATCACAAACTGTCACACCTTCTTCAGAAAGAAGAGCGGTTCCCATAGATTCTTCTGTGTTTGTGTGTTTGTTTTGTTGGATGGATCCTGCTGTGGCACTGAGAGACAGACTTTGCTGGGCCCTGCTTTGTAAACAAATCTGCTCGTGCACACTTTCTTCTATCATTGTATGTGTACACTGGCTCTGCTTTTCCCACCAGACACAAGGAAGCCTAGGAATTTAGAAGCTTGTTTTCTTTTAGAAGTATGCAGGCATCAACGAAAAATGTGCACATGCATTTAAAATGTGCACATCCTACCCTAGGTAAGGTTGTGAATTTTCACAGTTTTAACTCCAGGCCATGAACTCTGCAAATACATTGCAGCCCAATACACACACATTTCCCTTGGGAGGCATCCTGAGAGCCACCACGAACTATTGATTGAGCTCAGTGAATAAGGAAAGCTCTTTTTACCCTTAAAGTTCATTCTATGGCCCATAAGTGGGACTAGTCACCCAAAATGCTGTAGCATAAAACTGCTTTTTCCAAGAAGGGAAGATTCGTCCCTTTCTTAGATTAGAATGTGAACTTATAATAATATATATCCATATAACCACTTCCTACCTATAATTTTTCGAGTGTTTAATATTCCAACCAAGTTCACGTTTTTATGACAGGAAGTATGTGAATGATTATGACGGGAGTAAATAACATTTGATTTTATGATTACAGTACAGGAAGTAACTTTTCACGCCAAATAAATCTTGGGGGGGAAAAAAAGTGCCGGCTTATAAATTTAACGTACATAAATTTCCCAGAATCTTTGCTGTCTTAAGTGGAAATAAAACCAGAATGTGGCGTTGTTTCTTTCTCTTAACTTTTCTTGTCAACAAATGTCTTTGTTTTAGGAAGAGGCATTTTCAGGTATTTTGGCGTGACCCAACATGATATGGAACCATCAAAAAAATTTTGAGTGAAAATAATAAGGCCAAACTTTGTAAATAGCATGAAAAGCTTGAAGACCCTAAGTAGGAAGTTACCTTTTCCTTGAAAAGTAAATGGCCAAGTCATCATCCACCGTCGAGCCAAAGAGTTCCCCCCATTTCCAGTTACGCTTGTAGCCAAGTTCAGTCAGTATGTGGGAGAGACAGTTTGTTAGACGTCAAAGAGTCTGCCTATGAGCAAGTTTAAAGAGAAAAGAAAGAATTGGGTGGAACTTCAGTTACGTTCATCATAGGCAGAACTTTAATAGAGGCTTCATTTTTCCCTGACTTTAAAAAATAAGGTGAAGAAAGGATTTCTTTCCTCATCTTTCTCTTTTCTTCTTAAAGCATGAGGAGCTTGTAGTGAGAAGAGAATTTATAACTGACGCTCATTTCGGAGGAAATATTACATGTCCATGCATCACGTGAATGAATGGACGCCTGACGGTCAGGTTGACATACCCGGGAAGGGTGTCACAGTTCAGGTGCACTTGTAGACCCCGTGGGGCTGTGACGCAGTGGGTGGCACAGTGTTGCTCTGGGGCGTACAGGATGGAGGTTCAAACTTTAACTCTGAGACTGTGAGCCTCACGTAACCACACGGATTGAAAACACGATCATCTCTAAACCCTTTCTCCCTCTGAAACTCAGCGTCGCAGATTACGCAAAGAAGTAGTCTGCAAATTATACAAAGCTGTTCTCAGAGAACAAACTAATGTGTTAGAATTACTGATACTTAGTTGTCATTAATTTTTTGAAATTCTGCAGAGAATACATTTGCATGTGGCGTGATTAAAATTCTGCCTCGTGTTGTAGTTTTCAAGGAAGTTTCATAAGTGCTGTTGTAGACTGGAGGATGTGCCGGTGGAAAGCTCTGGAACAGAGTGGTCAAGATCAAGCTCCCCGGCTTTGGGTCCTGACTCCACCACCTACTGATGGTGTGATCCTGGTCAAGTCCTTCAACTCCCTGGGCCTCAGTTTACTTATCTGTAGGATGGGGATAATAACAGGACTTAGTTTGTAGGGTTATCATGAGGATTAAATGCGTAGATAGGTATGTGTTGGGCTATTGATAGCACCCAGACCAACTGTGTACATGAGTATGCTGTTATCACTGGTGATTAAACTGGCTTAAGGAGGTTGCGTGATCTGAACCAGAGCAAAGCAGAGCCAAAGGAAGAGCTGGAACTCGAACACAAGGCCTTCTGACTTCCCGTGCTCTGGTGTCCCTTCCCGTCTGAGGCCACTCCCTCTCTTTTCTGTAAAAGTGCCACTAAAGAGTGCACTTTTTTCATTGTTTAAAAAGAAACTTTGCGTAAACGTTAAACATGAAGAATATTTGTCGCAGGGGTTTATTTTGTTGGGGGCAGAGGACAGTGGGCCCAGAGATCTGGAGAGCAAATACTGATTCTGTAAACTTGGACTTCAGTGATGTCCGCAGCAGAGCACGTTACAGCAAGACCTGAATAGTCTCTGTAGTTCAATCACATTCTAAATACTCAACCTTAGAAATAACCACCCTTAGGCCCCCAGTTACCGGGAGCCCCTAAAGGGCAGCAGCTCCTTGGCAGCGGCTGCATCTGTTGGGTTCATGTTCTCTGTGCCACGCCCCCCAAACGTGTGTTTCATGGGCTTTATTCTGTTTTGCTCTACTTGTCCTTTCTCTATTTTTTTTTTTTTAAAGATTTTATTTTTTCCCTTTTCTCCCCAAAGCCCCCAGTATATAGTTGTATATTCTTCGTTGTGGGTCCTTCTAGTTGTGGCATGTGGGATGCTGCCTCAGCATGGCTTGATGAGCAGTGCCATGTCTGCGCCCAGGATTCGAACCAACGAAACACTGGGCCGCCTGCAGCGGAGCGCGCGAACTTAACCATTCGGCCACGGGGCCGGCCCCAAGTGCTTTCTTTTTTTTTAAAACCTCTGTCACTGGCCACCCAGGACTTAAGAGGAACTTTCCTGTAAATATAAAGCACAGTCTGAAATGGGAACCAACCGCACACAGAAGCTGTGAGAGCTGCGAGCACGTCTGTGAACATGGCAGTAGGAAGTGAGGACACTAGGGATTCTAATATTTGAGTAGTCGTCAGGCCTCTAATCATTGCTTTCTCTTTCACCAAGCTCAGTATCAGCAGGACTTTTTAAAAAATTGTAGATATTTAAAGTTGCGCTCCTGTTCTTTTGACATTATGCAGAATGGTCCTCTTTCCATGGAGGAGATTCATGGGTCTTGGGGGTGAGGGCAGAGGGATGACTGTGGCGTAGTGCAGGTGGTTTGAATTAAATTCTTAACGCTACTTATCGATGCTCTTTTTACTCCTCCTCCATTTGAAGATCGTGTTCATATCATGCGAATGGTTTCCATATTCTTCTTTTTAAAATTAACAGTTTAGTAAAGATTACATGTCTCATTAATGAAAATTTCCTTCCAGCGTATAAGACACAAATAGTCTGATTAAATTTTTTCCATATATTCTTCATGTTTGTCTTGAGTGTTCAAAAATGAGAAATAGAGCAGTTGGGGTGTACATCGCAAAGTGTCACCAGGTTAGAAACTAAGGGCTTCGTGGTGCTGGGTAACAAATACATGGATGCACTTGGTTTATTTGTTTCTATTCTTCAGTTCTCATTAAGTGGAAGCCAGGAGTGTGCTCCTCCCACCTTCGTGAGCTCCCTCTCCCCACCCTTCCCGCCCAAGATAGAAGCACATGAACAGCCTGAAAATAAAGCACAGGCTTTTTTTAAGCTCCTCTCTAAGCAAAATATCTACTAGTCCCTTCAGAAAATGAGTTCCGTCCCCACTGGTACTCCTTAAGGTGGGATAAAAGCAATTTTTCTTGCTCCATTTGTTCAGTTGTCATGAAATTCTACTCTTCTCTGGTATAAATGATCAGATTTGGCTAAAGCCAAGAGAAATACAAAAGGTCATATTTCAGCCCCTCGTGGCCAGTTTTCAACGGGCGCTTTGGTGTGAAAGCCACGTGGCCACTGTGTTAATGTGACGGGGTCTTATAAATAAATGTTTTTCTGGCCCTGTCTCAGACAAATCTGAAAAAGTTCTTTCTTTTCCAAACCCCAGGGATGGCACTCAGAGGCTGTGTCTTCAGTGTCTCAGTGCCCCGTAGAGAAGATGATTTCCATATTTGAAATTTGGGGACAAATGAAAATAACTCCCATTCTTTCTTGGAAGGGTTAATGCTCTAACCAGCCTCAGATTGGTTCACTTGTATCTTAAAATTACTTTTCTGGTCACGCGCACTGAAGGTCCAAGCATTTGTGAAATGTCTTTTTTTCCTTTCTCCTGATGCTGTTCCCTGTTGGCTCTCTTAATTACACAGGGGTTGAGAAACCAAATTAAAATTAGGCGTGGCTGGTAAACAGTGATCACGTTGCATGCTTTTCGCTTTGCTTGTTGGATTTCCTTCTCCTCCCTGTGCTGTTTGCCTCCCCACTTTTCCTTTCAAAGGAAATATCATAAGCTCTTTTAGAAATACTCACAGGAAGTGAGTATCCATATGCTGGTTGCTCGCCAGCAACCAAGCATTGACAGGTGGAGAATGCGGCTGCAGCCTTCGCAGATTTATTTGAACATTTCCACCCGAGCAGAGGATTAAATTCAGGGTGTACAGACCAAAGGGTTTTTGTATACTGAGGGAGTTCTAAGGGGAAATTGGTCATCGCGTGTCATCTTGAGGGACAGTGATTCAGGGAACCGTAATAGGGGTCAGCAAGGCACGTGGCTGCCGTCCCTGAGGTTTCTGCTCACTTCTCAGAGGGCAGGCTCCCTTCTAAAAATTAATGCTCCCTCCACCGCCAACAACGATTCTTTTGCAGTGAATCACTTCCAGAAATGAATAGCCACAGTTTTTTGGAATGAACGTTGTGAAACCCCTCGTTTATAATGGCAGGTTTTCAGTTGGTGGTTTTATCAGAGACAATTTCTCAAGATCAAAACGAAACCTCCTCTTTAAAAAGAAAGAAAGTACTCTCGATACAGAAAGCAAAAGTATTTCCAGTCTCCTGCTGAAGAAGTGTCCCGGAAGGTCTCGGTACCTATATTTAGAGACACATGTCCATCTATTTGCCGGAATGTGTGAGTTCTTGGAATTGTGGATTCATTGCCGGTGGCTGGTGATTTCCTATGCCGAAGGTCGCTGAGTAGAAGCAGTGTTGTATGCGGTGAGTAGGTGGTAGATTCCGAAGATTAATGCTAAACCAGTGTTTATCGTCTTTGAGTTGTGGATTCACAGACTGCTAGCACGCTCTTAAATACTTCTGCTTTATATGATTTAATGCATGGAACTGCAGGACTCAGAGAAGCCTGTAAAGGGTCTTTCAGAACATGGATTAATTGAGTAATCCTCGAATCTTTTGAATATCCTAGTTCTTTTCGGGAGGAAAGGATGTTTTACAGAAGGAAGCCGTTCGTAGGGGGCTTTTAGATGTTCAGTTACTGCTCTTCTATATATTTTTTAAGAATCACTTTATCCTCTTGTGTGAAAGAAAGAAATTACTACATGGTCTCCACGGAGAAAAAGTTCTAACTCTTTAAGTGAAGAAACTTCATCCACACGTTACTCCTAACTGGATTTTTTTTTTTCCTCTTAAACATTCGCAAGGGGAAACTAGCCCGTGAAGAAGACTAACCTTCTGGCGGGACCTACGATGGGTCTCGTTCGGACCCACTGGGCTCTCCGTAGGTTGTCGGCAGCACGTTTATCAGAGGGCAGAGAGGGGGAATACGGTTACTGGAAACAGTGAGTGCAGTTTAAGGAATTGTTGTCTTTCGAGAGTGGATAAGTCGTTTGACCTACTGACTCATTTCACAGGAATTGGGAAAACAACGTAGTGTGGTTTTCATTGTTAGTCCTGGAGGATTCCAAAATCTGTGTCTGCAAATAAGATGAGCTGGAGCGACGTGCTGTGCCACTTGCTGTTTCTACTTGCCTGTTCTCCTAATCGAAGTGAACCCCTTGCTTCCAAGACAAGCCCAGCCCGTGCTCGGGGACCCTCGTGTGACTGTTCCGTGGTGAGTGTGCATGATGGCGATTTCTGATTTTCACAAGTTCTTATTTCTAAATGGCATTTCATCAAAGGAAAAGCTTTAAAGAGCATTTTTTCCTGGCCACGTTTATACTGTCTTTCATATTTACCTGTAGAAAACACTCTGGGTGTGGTGATAATTATAAACAATAACATAACCTGTAGACAACAATGAAAATTAAGAGTTAAGATATATTTTGATAGATTTTTGCAGCATATTGACATGAAGGCAGTTTTGATTTTGACATATTTATGTTAAGTGATTTTTTGTAATGTTATTTAAAACACAGATATGGAAGATAACAGTATATTCTAGCAAAAAAATATAATTACTCATAGTTAATGAAAGGGATATGTTTGGGGCTGGTAAAATACTATTTATGTGCAGAGAAACTTTGGATTCATGATGTTTTGGTTTTAAACCAATAAGCTAAAGGTATCAAGAGAAGATAAAGCAAGTATATTGAACTTGGATAAAAGTAGAAACAGAGATGTTTGAAGTGACTGATATTTAAAGTGTTAGATTATTGCCTCGTATAATTTCATGTATGCTGGATCCCCCAAATCACACCCTCACATTATATTCTTCATTAAGGTAAAAGATGCTTGCTGTATAATTATTATGGAATTTCTCATCCTCTCTGGAGATGGCTGAGTAGAAATTGAGTCAGTCATGTTGGTGCTGTTTATTCAGTTTACTGCTTCATGTCTGAATGCCTTACAATTGGAGTTCTTAATCTTTTCAGGGTGTCAGGCCCCTTTGAGATTCTGATGAAAGCCATGAATCCTTTTACCAGGCTCATGCACAAGCATCTGCCTGCATTTTTGGGGCATTGCCCCAGGGAAGCCCATCCTCGGCCACCAGGTTCAGGGCGCCGGCCTAGAGCAAGACCCTACCGCGATTCTGCCATTCTCTAACCTCCCAGTAAACGCTGTGATTTAAAAAAGGAGACATCCCAAGTCAAAAAGAAGTCACTCTCTGTGGTTGCTAGGTGGGGGTGCAAGGCCTGAGAGGAGGAGGAAGGGTGGAGAAAATACTTGACTACTATTAAATAAATAAAGGGAATGGTTAATATGACCAGAACCTCCAAACAGATAGCCCAGCATCCCTAAACATTTAGCCACATGTATGTGTAAAGTACATTGCGAATTCCAGTAGACACTTAAAGATTCAATGTTAAACACTTGGGGAGAGTTTTCCTCATATATAATGAAATCTTGTTTCTTTTCCATTGTGTATGTTACCAAATTAGGTAGGACTGCAAATCCTCTGAACTCCAGAAATATAACAAACTGGAAAAATGATTCTCTGTGAGCAGAAGAAATTTGGTGGCAATAGATATAAGGTAGTTTAGTTGAGTACAAAGGCATCCCATTTGCCCATCAACTAAATTTGTCAGTACTGTAAGGCTGTTGTGGAAAAAATAGACATGATTCTTGGCTGTACTGAAAGGAGTATGACATAAAAGGGTAAGAAAATCAGACTCATTATTGTGTCCAATTTGAGTCACATTTGAAAAAAGATTTTGGGTAATTGTGAAGAGCTGATACACAAGCAACAGAAGTTATACACCGTTCTAGCAAAGATAAAGTACCTGAGGATCTTAGTCCGAAAAAGGCTAAAGGATTTCTTGCTAATGGTCTGTGAGTAGTAAGGATCTGATTTAGCCTTATATCCTTGGGGCCTAACACACTGCCTGTTTTCAGTAAGGTGTAGAGCTTTAAAAGACTGTCCTGTGTAGGGACGTTAGTAACACTTCTCTGGTGTACTTGGCAGGAACAATAGATTCAAATAAAACCAAGGAGGTATATCAGAACGTAAGGTATGAAATAAATAAATTTGTTGGCTGATGAATAAGTAAGAAAGACCATTTCGATTGCCAAGATAATAACACAGGTTAGTGGCTAGCTGATGGAAGTGACAAAATCTTTGGTTGAGATCTCTTTCAAGATGAGAATAGGTAACTCCGTTTTAGATAGTGGAAACGTTTATTAATTCATTCAACAAACAGCGAGGGCCTATTTTGCTAGGTGCTCACCATCTGGTAGAGGAGGCAGAGATACAAAAACAAATGCACAAGGCATGCTTAGTGCGACAGTCACATAAAAACAGCATGCTGTGGGACCTTGTAACACTTAACCGCCATCCGTGAGGCTTCCTTACAGAGGCGATGTCCGAATTGACTCTTAAAGGACAGCCTTCAAGGAATTAGCTAGACGAGGGGGCAGACATCATAGTGAGGGCTTCAGGCAGAAGGAACAGCCTATGCAGAGGCTCAGAGCTGTGAGATGTGACAGGGGTGGGGAAAGGAGTGATGAGAGAAGATGAAGCTGGAGGAGTCATTGATGAGAGAGGTAACTCACGCTCCAGGCCGAGCTTGCCTGAAGGTTTCCATCTGGAAGAGGAACGTGGCCGGATGTTCTCTTTAGAAAGATCACACAGACTGCAGAGAAGAGAATGAGTTAGGGGGAGAGGGAGAAGAGTGGATAAGTCAGGCAAGACAAGGGGATCCGGTGGAAAGCAAGCTGCTCTCAACATCCATGGGAGAAATGATGAGGGCACCAGTGGCGGTGGATTCAAGGGAGCTTAGTGGGGTTGAAACGAGGGAAAAGGTGAAGTGAGGATGGAGGCTTTGGTTATGACGCCGTCTCATTCACCGCAGAATGAAATCCGAGAGGAAAAACAGGTCTGAGGGGAAGATGAGTTGGCGTGTGGACGTGTGGGAGTGCACCCTGAGCAGGCGGGACTGCGAGACGGAGTGGGTGGGGGCGGCGAGTGCGGATGTGGGCCTTGAAATTTGATGAGCGACAGCAATTCAAAGTCACTACCTGATTGGTAGTCTTGACCTCTGCGAAGAGGGGTTTCTAATGCAATGGATCACTCTTTCAGATTTTTAACAGCGTATTTTTAATACTTTTCTAACTAATCTGTAATACAACTTCTTTTAAAACGTAGAATAGTGTAAAGAATAAAAATTTTCTCTGATCCCATCACCCAATGCTCTGTTAATACTTGCTAATATATTTCCTTCTAGTATTTTCACACACACACACACACACACACACACACACGAGTTTGCAGCATCAGGATTGTTCTGTCTTGGCACTTTTGTATCCCACTTTTTAAATGAGCATTTTTCTCCATGTGCTTACAAGTGCTTTAAAAACACTGTTAAGGGTGCATTATATTCTTGAATTTCAGACTGTTTACTTCAATTTTTTAAAAGCTACTTTTACATTACAATAATTATCCTTTTAAATATAAACCTTGGACATATTTTTAATGATTTCCCAAGGATAGATTTCTTGCAGTGAATTTAAGACAGAGGAGCGAAACTTTTTAAACATCATTGATACGTACTCTTTGCCAAATTGTTTTTTGGAAAACTTGTGCCAAGTTAATACACATTGCAGCAATGTATGAAATGCCTGTCTCACCATTTCTTCATTAGTACTCAGTATTGCGTTTTAAAAAAATCTTTAGACAAAAACATTACATTATTTTTGGTTCATTTATTCAACAGCTATTTAATGAATACCCACACTGTGCCAGGCAGGTGGCATTTTTTAATTGCTACCAGTAAAGTTTAACATTTTCCTGTGTTTATTAGTCCATTATTTCCTTTTATAAATGTTCTGTTCTTGTCCACCATCAGCTTTTCTATTGAGAGGTGACTGTGACTATAATTTATTTGAGGTCTCTGTGTGTCTTTGTGATATTTGGTCAAATACTTTTCTCATCTTTGATTTTTAATTTTGCTTATGATTTTTTTGAGATACAGAAACTTTACATTTTTTCTTAGTTGGCTAAATGATTTTTGTCTATTTTTTTCCTTTATGACTTCTTTTATTACCTTGGGCTTAGGAATTCCTTCCCACCCAGAAACTAGAAAATATTCTTCTAATTTTTTTTAATTTCATTTTTTACATTAAACTCACCAAATTAGAAGGATTTACACAGTAAATCCCTCAACATTGTGTATGGAGTCATTTCTCTTTCCCCAGTTAATTTTTCGTGCTTTCTTTATTTTATATTTCAAGACCTTTCACTCTTACATCCAGCTATAGGAGTCCATGAATTCTGGGAATATTAGCATTTGAGTTGGAGGTAATGATAATACGTTCTTCCAACATTTTATTATGAAAAATCACAAGCATACAGCAAAGTTAAAAGAATTTTACAGCAAACCTCCCACATATGCTACACCAGCTAAATTCTACAGTTAGGTCTTACCACGTTTTCCTTAATTACCTATGTATTCACGTGATAATTTTTAAACCTCTGGAATCATTATTTGAATTCAAAAGTGGAATACCAGACATTTTCTCTCGTTCTCAAACCTAATTTGTAGGTTTGATTTCTAGGAAACCTTTAGCAGTTTATCTTAGTACAGTAAAATAGTGAACATCATAATACATACCAAGAGAAACTGCTTTCCAAAATATGTTTTCGTCATTAAATTTTATGAATATGGTTTGATGTTTAAGGGTTATGATTGTTATTCACATACAGTGAATTTGTTTTTCCAACATAAGTCCCTCTTAAGGGGTCTGTCCTCCCATACAGGACCCTTGCTTTTTGCCCTTTTGGCTGGAACTGAAGAGTACATTTAAGAAAGGAATGGCAAGTCCCCACAGGAGGCACCGAGATGCTGTAGAATTCTGTGGTGGGTGGTCCCTGTCAGGGCTAGCGAGTGGGCTGCCTGGGTCACACTGGGCTTTGAAAGAAGACTTTTGCCAGAGTCAGGCCGCTTTCCCGAGTGGCCACCGTCACTTTCTGCCACGGGAGCCCTTAGCGTAAAGGCTGCTTTGACCAGGGTGGCCTGTCACCCCAGACCAGCCCTGCTGACGTTCAGCACTGAGTGTCCCTGGTTCACGGTGCGTGATAGGTCAAATAAACCTTAGCTCAAGGAGCTTAATCACCTCTTCCCAGCCTAAATGATGAGCTCCCTAAATTCCTGTGAGTTTTTGAGGCCTGTTAGCATCCCAGCTTAGAGATGGGTTTGCAACTGTGTCTTAACATAACCTGACCTCCTGCGTCTGCCTGTTAGCGTGGCCCACAGTGAGCCGAATGGGAAAATGCAAAACCTGCCATAAAAGATCCACCTCTGGTCACCACTAGAAATGACCCATAATTTCATTTTTGTGCTGTTTTTTTCCCATCCAAGCTTCCATTTCCTGTCTGTAAAATAAGTTGATTTTATTAGATTACGTAGAAGATTTTTTTCTTGATACCAGATCTGTGATTTTAATCTAGAACATTGAATGTAGGTCAATATCCGCCCCTTTCTCAAATCTGGGAAGACAATTTATTTTTCAGCTTCTCTGAATAATACTTTCCAGGGTGTTGTGACCAGTGATAAAGTTCCTCAGACTCTGGAGCTAGGGCTAGAATTTTAAAACCATTAGCTTCTGTGAAAGGAATGAGAGGGCATTCCTGAGATCATTCAGGGGGAAAAGCCTTACTCACAGGAAGCGTATTAGCTGACTAGCTACTTAGTGAGCAAGTTCCCACTTCGACCTCCGGGAGTCTCAGTCTGTGGTCCAGTGTCACCTTTGTTCTAAATTCTGCGCTCTTGGTGAAGAATGCTGTCATATTTTAGAAGTCTAGCCAGCAAATGCTTTGAAATTCAAGGATAGTGATACTGAAAAAAATTTACCATAACCTAAATTGATATTCTGGGGACATCAGTATTCAGAAGAGGCATCCATCCTATTAGAGTGAATGATTTTCAGGAAAAATAAAAAAAAGAGCCAGAGTTTTTCTCCTGCCACTGTCCCCTCTCACTTTTAAGCTCCTGCAAGAGTCAGCTTGTTGCTTCCCAAACCTGCTGTGCTGTTTCCTGTTCCCCTGCCTTTGAGAACGCAGTCCGCCACCCATCTCCACCGTCCCCCCATCTTACTCCACTGTCCACCTCTCCAACAGCATCACGCTCCTGGGAAGCTGACTGAGAGGTGCTCCATCACGTTAACCTCTCCCAGCCCCGGTGCTGCCCTCCGCTCTACCGAAACACAGATGTTGCAGTGTTGAGTTCACATGGCTTTCATTAATTAGCCAGGAGCGAGGGAGGGTGGTCACAAAGCGCAACTGTAACCTGTTATTTTCCTTCCTGTTCACATGTCGAGAAGACTCATGTAAGAATCCACTCCTGCCACCAGTCATCTCCATGGTGTGCGGAGGGTTTATGAATCATCTTCTAAATCCACAGCTAGTTTTAAAATTTAGCTTCCAGGCCAGCTCTGCAGGAGATAAGATTGCGAGATCATAAACGCTGTGGAGTAAGTATGAAGTTATTTACCAGATCCCATAACGTTAGCAGTGGGAATCCTGAGGAGGGTGACATTAAGAAAGCTGCTTTATCAGCTGAGTCATACCTGGATAGACCCTGGTGTCTCCAAAGGTGTTAACATGCCAAGAATATAAAGAGCTTTAAAGTGAGTTTAAATTAAAGCATAAAATAAAGTTTGGATATATTCCTAGTCAGGGGGGATAAATAACAAGTTAGCAAGGAAAAGAAGAGAGATTTGAGGTACATCCGTAACTTTTAAGATACACGTCTTGAAGAGAAACTCTGATGAAATATACCATGGTGTTACCCTCAAGGATTAAAAAGAGGGCACAGAAACCGCGTTTCTGAGGGATCATGGCTGGTTTCCAGTGTGACATTTTTAATGTGCCGGTTTACCTGAGAGTCCTCTCATATGAAACTGGACTATCACCACCGTGAAGATAAAGTGTCAGTTAGCTGTGACCTCGTGTGTACCAATAGTGACTAACCCAGGACTCCAGGTCACAGTGGTTGTATTTCCCGTGGCCTCAGAGTCCTGGGGTCAGGGTTAACAGAGGTCGTTCATTTCTGTGTTCAAGTCTCTAATTTTTCATTCGTGTAAACGAAGGTGAGGGCAGACCTGATCTAACACAGGTGCAAGCGATTAGTAACAATGACAACAGCAGCAGGAGCTCACACTGTTAGCTGAGTGCCGTGTGCCAGGGGCTGTGCCAACGACTTTACTTGGTCATCTGTTGTAGTAAACAATACTAAGCGGCAGCTACTGTTATAATACCCATTTTACAGATAGAAAACTAAGGTTCGGAGAAGGTAAATCATTTCCCCCAAGATGACAGAACTAGAAAGTGGAGGAGCCAGGATTCAAATCAAATTTGGCTCCTAAGCGCATGCTTTTCATTTGTATCCTATTCAGTTTTCGTAAGTGACTCATATTTTGGAGGTATTTTTATCCTTTGGGGCCACTCAATTTCATCCAGTCCGTTCTCTCTTGCAGTGGTTTTAATGTTTAGAGAAAGATGGATGCATCCCCCACAGCTGGGCATTTTCGTGCCATACCTTGTTCTGGTCACCTGGTGACAGCATGTTGTTAATGGTGCATGTTACCACAACCCGCCCGCGTGACTCCAGCAGCCGTGCTGGTGGTTCTAAGAAGTGTATGTCCAGAAAAGGTCATTAGCAAAGCAACTATCCCAACTACTAAAAAAACAGCTTGGTGTGGCCCATGTTGGAATCCCCTTTCTTTTGTTACTGGAAATGAGTAGAAGTTCATTAACGCCGTGTCTTGCAGTAAATTCAGGCCCATAATTTAAGTGTGCTGTCAGGACCCAGAAATCTGGTGTCTTGTGATGTGTTGCTTGGCTGACTCCATCTGCCTCAGTCGGGGATGCTGGTTTTCCATTGATGGGGCACAAAGGCTCCTCGGCCAGTGTCATCTCTTGGCAGTCTTACCCCTATTCGATAGTCTCTGGTCCAGCCAGATGAAGCTGGTTGTGCTTGCCCTCTGCATGGAAGCTCTTTCCTTCCCTCTCTTTCTAGCCAACCACTACTGTTCCCTTCAGATGAAACCTCCCCCAGACAGTCTTCCGTGATTGCTCAGGACCGGGTCAGGCTCCCTTGTGTGCTTCCACAGCACACTCTGCTTACCCCTTTGTGCACACATCATACAAGGTTCTAATTTCTTATTTCTTGTCTATCTTCCCTGATGCACACTGGCCCCATAATAGCCAGGATTGGTGGTGTTTACATTTGGATAAACACTCTGACGCACAAGACAGTGCCTGACACGTGGCAGACACTCAGCAAATGTTTGAATGAGTGAGGGTAGAAATGACATACTTGGTGACAATGGAAACCAGTATGTAAAATGTCTAGCATTACGTTTTATAAGGTGCTTTCATATACATCATGTCACAGCAATTCTGGGAAATCGAGGTCTTGATCCCATTGTACAGGCCTGGAAACATCAGCTCGCCCCAGTGCGTATACATGGTTAGTCAGTGGGAAAGCCAGCATTTAAGCTTGTCTCCTGACCCCAGATCTGTGCTCTAACATGCCATGTGACCATTCCAAGGCCGGTCTGTAAAAACAGGTATTAGAGGATGGAGCAAAAGCAGTGCGTCATTCTTGTCCTAACCAACTAGATCCACAGGGAGAATCGGCCGATTTTCATTTCTCTTCCTTTCCTCCTTAGCATCCTCCTCCACCCCCCATGGATTTTCAGTGAAAGCTTTACACTGACGTGTGATGAATCCTGTCCAAGTTTCAAGGTGCTGACAGTGAATCTTCTGTATTCAGAGCAGGCTGCCTGCCGTCCTTCTTTTCCTGGGGGTAGAGCTTTTGGAACAGTGGAGAACTGGGAGGGTTCAGGTAAAGTCCTTGAGCAAATCGAATAAGTAGGATCATAGTATGTGAGGGAGTGAGAAATGAGCCGAGCGGGAGGTATGTGTGCGCAGGCACTGAGAAAGTGAGCAGAGGACGTGTGCGGAGGGCTGGTCTGGCTGGCAAGGAAGAGGCTGGAGAGAGGTGGCTGGCTGGGATGGGCTGTGCAGTTAAATAGCTGAGCAGATCTTAATAACAGATGGGGGTGTGGTCCACAGACCTGCAGGGGAGCAGGCTAGAGGCAAGGGGACTGGCAGCGTCTTTGGACACACAGAGCTAGAATGAATGACCCACCTGGATTGCAGAGCCTGGGCTGTTTCCACGAACAGGTAGCCCAGGGAATCCAGCATAATCAGAGGAGGGGGAGAGAGATTTGGGGTAGCATTTCCTAAACTTTAAAAATTACAGAATTTAATACTCAGCCCTGCTCTGCTTTAGGTACTCCTGGCAGTGTTGTAGAGAAATTAATTTTGCCACCACAGTAGAACATTAGACCAAGTTCATAAATCCGCTCAGCGATGGCTTGGAGTTACAAACGTCTCCTTTTATCCCTGGTTATTTGCAGTAAGAAGATAAACTAGCCTTTATTATCGTTCTATTAGGTGGGGGGCAAGGTCAGAAAGAGATGGAGATGCGGTGAGAGGTACCTTCTACAGGACATTTGGAGGTCAGAGCAGCTCAGGGAGGTCAGGGTTGGCTAATGTCGTTGTTCCTTGATTCGTTCAACAAAAATTTCTTGAGCACCTACTGTGTGCTAAGCACTGATTAGCACTGAGATGATGATGATGGTAGTGATGGAAAAAACAGGCATGATCTCTGTCATCATGGAACCTGAGTAAATGCACAGAAAAGCAGTCCAGTAAAACTCAGGTTACATGCATGAGGGGAAAGTGCTCGAAGAGGAACAGGGCCTCCTTTCAGTGGTTCTCTGAGAGGTGATGTCTAAGCTTGAGAGGAAAGGTGTCGGCAGAGGAGCTGGGGTGAGGGTTCCACATGGAGAGAATAGCTCATGTAAAGGCTCTGCAGGGGGAATGAGGTTGGCCTTTGAGGGTCCAGAAGAAGGCAGGGGTGGCCCGGGGTGAGGGTGGGAGGGGTGTGGCCCCTTCAGTGTGGTCTGTCTCCGCTCTGGACGGCTTCCGTTTCCGGAGTCTCACGGAAGTTCCTGATAACCCATGAGGTATCTCAGCCCAGGGCACGCCAGGCCCTTAGGTGACTCGTCCCTCAGAGGCTGCCTGCCTCTTCCCTCTTCCTGTTATCGTCACTTGTTGAGGGAAATAAACAAGGATATACAATGAAAGCAGATTTTAGTGGACTTGAAACCAGAAGTCATCTCAGGTGCCGAAAAGCATGAAAATCTGCCCCAGGGACTCTACGATGACTTTAAACGGAACTGGTTTTACAGCAGATGATCTGGCTTGTCCTGCTGTGGGTCTCACAGGCAAGGCTTGCGAGCTGAAGAGCTGGAGGTGAATGCAGCAAGGTGGTAGCATTCAAAACGGAAAGCCTGGTTAATTCTGGAAAGTGAAACCCATGTCATTGGCTGCCGGAAGTTCTGGGGAAGTTTGTCCATTGGATTAAGTGGAACTGTGTCCCCGGGGGCTGTCATCGGGCTCTCTTTCTCATGTGGAACCTCAGGTTTGGGAATGCTGAGCGAATGGCAAGGTGGCCTCAGGCCAGTGCCGTCGTCCGAGCCCTGAGCCCCCTCTCCTGCTGCAGTGCCCGCATGCCCAGCTCTCTGTTCTGCCTGCGACATTCAGGTGGCCTGGTGGCAAGCAGGTCTGCCTGTCTGTGTGCTCTTTTAACTACCTCTCCCTTCATTTAGAAGAAATGAACTTTGAACTTGGGTTGGGTGGGGGCTAGAAGGAAGAGCGTGCTAAAAAGTGTTGTGTAAACACTGCGGCTCTGATCCTTCTAATCTCATACTACCTGTACGGACAGGTGGACGTGGAGAAGCTGCTGGCCGGAAAGGCGGAATTTTTCCAGGCCGTGTGTTATGCAATAGAGGAGCGTATCTTTGAAGCTGCAGGAGGAGGTCAGGGCAGCTTGTCCACTCGGCATATTACGCAGAAGTTTCCCTTTAGAAGCTCTTATTTGCTTGAGGATCATTAGAAATTCCTGTGCCAACGTTTAGCTGGATCTCCGGGGTGAGTTATCACCAGTCTGTAGTTAAAGCAAGCAATTTTTTTTTAGAGGACTCTCCTCTTAAAGTTTTCCTGAGATGTTAGTCTGAAACAGTTACCTTCAACAGTTGTTTTTGAATAGAATGTTGTTCTATCCCAGTCTGTAACCTTGTACTCAGGTCTGCGAGGGAGAAGAAAATGAGAATGTTGTCTCTTCATCCAGTTACAACGTGGAGGTAGACGGCGATTTCACAGGTCTGTGGACCAGGCCGTGCTGAGCTTGCGTCTGGGACAGTGACCAGACAGATAAAAGGAGAAGTGAGAGATATTTTTAGCCTGTCAGAGCTGCTTGGAAACATTGGTTTCTCCCCCACCCAGCAATTCCAGCAAGGAGGGTCAGGAGTCAGAGCCTTTGCCCTGACTCGGTGTGTAGAACATTGGCTTCTATGTGGCACTTTAGAACATTTGTCACGACTGGTGAGTTGCCCACCAGATTTGATGGTGTAGCTTTGAAACCCACACAGTTCAGCCCAAATATTTGACGTCACTGTGGAGGGCCTCCGAGGGGGCTCAAGGGGGCTCATGTGTCCCACCGTGGTCCAGGGACCAGGCCCTCCCTCGGTGCAGATTTCCTGGGCAGTTGGGGCTTGAGGACATAGACTCTTTTTCTCTTCTCCTATGTTGAGGGGATTCAAGCGTGCGTTGAAGTTCGGACCTCGAGGGCCACGTGACCTGTACAGTTAGGTTCTTACAATTTTGGGAGCTCCAATTTAAACCACTAGCAATGTTAAATCAACCAAAAACTTCAGTGAGGTTGTCAATGGAGTGCAAATTCAGAGACGTGATGAAAGGAAGGGATCCTGTCAGGGACAGACTGGCTGTTAGAACCACTTGTGCAGACTATAGGGCTTTTGTATATGATAAGAAATGTGTCAGTCAGTTTCCATACAAGGGTGTTTACGCCTCTGTGCTGAACTTCTGCTTGGCTGGTCATTGCTTCAACCGAGGGCCGACCTCTCCTCCTGGCCATCTGAGCAGGCGGTGCCAAGAAGAGCACAGGAGAAAGCAGTCGGTGTTGGGAAGAAGCCTTGGGGTAGGATCAGGAAGCCGGCTGGGTTCTTGTCTCTTTCCTCCAACGCCCCCTCCCCCGCCACATCCATCCCATGTCCCCATGCCTTAGTTTCCTCATCCGTAAAATGAGAACGGTGAAGTACCCAGCTCAGAGGGCTGATGTGAGGCCTGAATGGGTTAATGTGTGTGAAGTGCCTGCAAGATGGTTTGCCTTTCCTACAATGAATCACAGGCACTACCTTCCAGGTGAGAGGCTGGGCTCTTTCTCCCCCTCTCCAGGCTGCTTTACCTCCAAGTGGCAAATGGTAAATGGCCGACGTGTTCACGAGAGAGCCAGTCAGAGGGAATAGACGGACCGAGGAAACCACCACGGCAGGGTGGGCTCTCGAGGCCCTTCCGACCAGAGTGGGGTCAGGTTGCCACCTCCTTCTCCTGATGCTTACACAGTGGTCCTTACCTCACCAGAAAAAGCCACCACCCTTGGCCCCACCTGGGACCCGTGCTCCAGCATCTCCCCCAGATGACCCGTGCAGTGGAGACAAGGGGCCTCCGGTAGGCAATGTAGCTGACCCGGAGACAGTGCCCCCACAGGCTTGCCGCAGTACCCGGCAGCATTCACCAGTTTTCCTCCACTTTGGAGGGTCATCGTCAGACTCACTCGTCGGGGCTGAGCTCTTTACTAGCTGGTTCTCCTTGATGGAAACTCTCTCACTGAAACTTTCCATTCTCAGCCTACGTCGTTTCAAACCCTCGGTGCACTTCTCTGAGGGCTCAGCTGGCTACCCCTAAAATAGCCTGGTGAAGCTAGGCGCTCTGGTTTTCATGCTGCTCCCCCGAAACAGCTGACACGTCAGGGCTTCTGCAGAGGTTTTCAGTGGGAGAAAGATATGTTTTGGGGCCAGCTCAGAGAGCTCGTGGCTCCTTTTCAGAATTTACTTCGTGGTTTGGCCCCACGTGGTGGAGAACCCTGTCCTCTTAGGTTTGGGTGGTTCCATCCAGTCTTCCACTGAGAATTACATCTTTAAAGGCCGCCTCTGGGCATCAGAGTGGCACCTCCCTGCTAGAGACCTGGGGACTCATGAGGGGCATCTGCAAAGCTGACGGGGGCCAGCAGGTGAGCACTTCAGGAACAGAAAGCCAGGGTGAGGGCCGGGGAAGTTCTGCTGATTATCTAGCAAGTCACAGACCTGAAATTCTGTCAGATCCCTGGGTAGAGAGAGAACCACCCGGAATAGATAATGAAGTCTGAAATCAACTTCGCAGTGAACCAGACTGTGAGAATGGCCACTGTTCTTTATCACTCAAAATTGTTAGTCCAAAAAGCTAGGAAAGGCCAGCCACTTCTGGTGGTCAAAACGAAGCCTTCCTAGTTTTCTGCAACAAACCTGGCAATGCTCTCCCCTCCCCCCCAGGGGCTGGCCGCTAGAACGGCTGTCTGAGGCTGCCCCCTTGCGGCCAGCACCTGGCAGTGCATGTGTGACCTGTTGCTGGATCCTCTTTGTGAAATATGTTGATTTTAAAGATCTTCTACCATGAGTTTTCTCAGTCCCACTCTCACTGCACGTATCATTCCATCTCCAGGGCTTAAGGGCTTAACCACTCTGCTCTGGCATCCGTCTAATCTGCTCTTTGCTCCATTTCGACTCCAGAGTCACTACGTTCCAGTAAGCTTTTCTTCTGAGCCTCCAGGCTGATCTTTCTAAAACGTGGATCTGATAGTCTTTCCCTGACTTACAGCCCTTCAATGGGTCCTCCTTTTCCCTGTTCCAGCCCATCTCTCAGAATACTCCAAGCTCAGCTCCTCTGCCCGGGGTGGCATCTCTGCACATGCCCTTCTCTCTCCCTCATCTGTCTACCTGCCAACACCTGCTCCTTCCTAAGATTCATCTCAGGTATGGCCTCCTCCGGGAAACCCTCTGCATTATATTAGATAATGCAATATAACAGGGGAGGGAAGGAGGGAGGAAATAGGAGGGAACTTGACACGCCGCATTATAACCAGGCACTTTCCATCCTCTCCGACAAGACAGAAGCTACTGGAGAGTGGAGGCCTGTATCTCTGTATCACAGCGTCTGGCATAGAACTGTTGCTCACTAATTTTTCAGAGGAATAAAGGGACGGAGAATAAAAGCAGCAAAGACCCACATCACCAAGTGTTCCTCCTAGGGGTGATGGAGCTCAGGCAAGAGCCCGGTTAAGCTCCAGGGCCCTTGAGTAAAGATGCTGCATGTCAGTACAGACACTGGGCAACTCTTTCACCCCAATAACAACACTTACTCCCCTCGCCTTTGTGCTGTTCCCTGTCTCCAGTCAGCCCATCCTACTGCCAAATTAATCTTTTTCAAGCATGTGTCGATCACTTCCTTACTCAAAACTCTTCAGTAGAAGGGCCCCCGCCTTCTTTAGCCTGGCCGTCCAGGACTTCCACAGCTTGACCCCAACCCGCCTCTATTTCACACCACTTAGAGGTGCCGTGAGTTCCATCCGTGTTCTAGGACTGAAAAAGTATTTGCTGGTGGATTTCATTACTTATTTGACAGGCAGTGTGGAAAAGCGCATCCTAACATTTCAGCTAAGACGTGTGTTATTGAACATCTGTGGGTATAAGGCGCTGTGCTGGTCACTGAACCATCAGAGAGGCAGGTGGCGGCCTGTGCCGGCCGGGAGCTGACAGTCAGCTGAGGAGCAGACGAGAAAATGCACGCGGCGTGAATGGCAGAAACGAACGTGTCACAAGGCGGCATGTGATTGATTCCAAATAAATGGCTCAGGACTGTGGTGTTGGTTAAACAAGATAACGTGTGTGAAAGAACCTCTACCCTATAAAACCCTATAAGGCCTGTGAAAGTCCCCTTGCAGGCTGCCTTGCAGTCTGCCTCTCTGTCATGCACAGAACTCTTGTTACACTTCACAAGTCGTAGGTACTCACCAGTCTTGCAAAGCCCTGGTCCACCTCCCCAGCCTCCTATGCCCCTACCCTCGAACCCCAGGCTGCAGAGATGCTGAAGAGAAGGCCCCGTGTTTTTTATTTGGTACAATGTCCCCAGAAACATTCTTTCCTGCCCATCTCCCTTCTTTGTCTAACCTAGTCTTCCTTTCAAACTCTGCTCTTCCTTTAGAATTCAGCCTAGAGTCCTCCAGAAAGCTGTGTCTGACATTTCAGAGCCGCCACTCCCTCCTCACTCCTCACAGGTGCCGCCGCCTCTGGGGGACTTGCGCCTCTGCCGCAGGGACCGTGTCTTTCTGCTCTTCACTGCCAGCACCTGACACAGTATGTGACATGGAGTACCTGTCCCTTAAGTGTCGTTGATTGAAAGAACTGAACGTATTACAGGGACTCAGTACACATCCGTTGATTTGTTGAGACGTAGATGCTGTGAGTGCAGAGGAGGGTGACGTGCCGGAGCAGTCCAGGGAGGCTCCGCGGAGCAGGTGGGAAATACTAAGCTGAACATTCAAGGTTTTGCACGTTGAAAATGGGCAAAGAACAAAAATACCCGAGGTGGAGGAGCTCAGCGTGTGCGACTGCTGGCAACTCCACCGCTCTGTCCACACGGCCCGGAGGCAGGGAGCCCTGGAGCCGGGGTGGAGGCGGCCTGCTAGTTGGAGCAGAGGGTTTATTGAAAGGAGATAGAGAGAAGGCCCTGAGGGTGGGTTGGATTTAGGTGGTGGGAAGGCCTCAAAGGCACGTGGGTTCTTGCAGGCGGTGAGTGTCATTATTTTTGAAAGCTAGTGACTTGGTCAAAGTGGTGTTGAGAGTGGGAGCTGCCTTGTGGCCCTGCCTTCATCTTCCATCCCGGCTTTGAGGCTCCTCTGGTGACCCCAGATGTGAAGCCCCCTCCTATCAAATGCCTCACCTTTAAGGGCTGGATCTTTTGTAAACAAAGGCTTTCCTTCTGGCGCTGCCCTTGACCTGGCTCTGAGCTGTTGGTCCTTTGGGCCCATTCAGCTCTGTCCCATCCCTCTCTCCTCGTGACTGGTAATGACCCGGAAGGTGGCAGCACCCACGCAGCAGGTGGCCCCAGAGCTGAGTCACCGCCCTGGGAACTGTGCCCTGGTGAGGCCGGCTCAGGCAAACTGGGGAACTCTCCACCTCACCCCGGCTCTGTGAGGCCTCTCAGTGCAACAGCCAGAGCAAAGGAAAATGGATTCTTTTATGCATCGAGCTGATGAGAAAGTGAAATAAAGCTAATTGAAGAACCTAAAGGAAGTTATCCTAATGGTAGTCTCTAGCTGGTGTCTTTGGCAAGCACAGAGTTTTTCCTCACAATGATAGTTATGGCCATGATTGTTTTATTTAAACACATGAAAATCATCCCTTTACACTTATCTTTAAAAAATGGGACGAAGAAGATTTTAAAATGATGGTTTACAATTCTGTATGACCTTATGAATTCAGAGAGCCTAAGAAATAAAATGTTGTGGAGAGATATCTAAGCTGTCAATGTTCTAGGAAATGTGCAAATGAGGTTTAGGGTTTTTTTTTTTAAGTGTTTTATTATTCATAGATACTCTGAGGGAGGTTGTTTTTAAAAATTATGATGCTTTTATTTCATTCCCAGAGAAGATAAAAATGTAGTGTTGCTTCTGAAAGAGGGTTTTAGAAAAAAAGGTCTGGCTTGTTTACTACACCAATGAATAGAGATGACCTCAGTCCGAAAAAACAAGTTAACCATAATATCGCTCCTTTGCCTGGCAAAATAAGCCTTTATCAAGTAGCAAAAGAAGTGCAAGTCTGACCACCTAGTCATCATTTCAGCTGATCAGGATTTTCCAAAAGACAAAACAAAAAGCTCTCTCCATTTTCACAACTGAACAATAGCTCTTAGGAAATACTACCAGCTTGCTCAGTTCCTATAAGGCCGTAAAAAAAGTCTGGTGACAATTACTCACTCAGTCGCCTGAATGCAATGCTGTACGTGGTTAACTCTGCTGTCGCCACTGTGAGCTTTCGAAGTTGGAAAAAAGGGGTCATGTCTGTTGCTTTTTGAGTATGGAGTTTTTTAACTTAAAAAGAAATTTAATCTTTTTTGCTTTATACATCCTGTGCCCAGTAAGCTCTGTACAGCTGAAGGGTCCCTACAGATGGAAGCCCGTTCTCTTGAGCAGATTTTCCTGAGCTCTGGGTACGTGCACGTGCTCTCTGACCACCGTGGGGCCCAGATGAGACTCGTTGAGCCAGTCCATGGAACTCCACTGCTTAGCTGGCAGATATGCTGTGACCCGGAAGTTGAGTTTTCTCCTTTATTTTCCTGTTTACTTTGCATATGCGTAAAAAAATGAGCCACACAAAAATATAGACGGTCAAAAGGCTTCCTAATTTTTCTAAGGCAGAGGAGTTGAGGCAGATTCTGCTAGAAAGCAGCACCCATATCCTAATTCCTACAGCCTCTGTGATTTCAGATCAGCAAAGGCCGAATCGAAACACACTGGGAAGTTAGAGGTCAGTTGATTCTAGGATCCATTCCAGTCAAAAGAATCTGTAGACTCACTGGATTTGGGAATGGGGTTTGGGGAAAGAGGGTTTTTTTAAAAAGAGGGAAGCTTTGTTCCTTATTTCTTGACCTGTGTTGGGTGGGAGAACGAACCTGCTTTGAATAGAAGTTGCAAAAAAGCCAATCCTGGTGACCATACAAGAAGATTAATGAGGACTCGGCACCAAATTAAATATGCCCAGCCTTTAAGAAAACTGCATTAATAGTGCCACTGTGACGGCGTTAACGATGGGAGCCATGGGAAGATGCTTGGGGAGGCTCAGGCGCTGATGAGTTAAAAAGGCAGAGACATCCAGTAAGTGAGTTCCCGCCCGGGCACGGGTTTGTTTATCCTGCCCTTCTGAAGTCAGAGCCAACATTCTTAATGGTTTTGAATGATTCAGAATGTTTCTCTTTTGGCAGGGCCACTTTCCACACATGGGCTTATGACTAAAACCCCTTAGGTGAGGTCCAAAGCAGAAACTGGCCTTACACTTAATGTCGAATTTTAGAATCGTCTTATTTTAGAGCAACAGGAAAACTGTCAATACAGCGTGCTTGTTTCAGAGATGAAGAGCTGGACCAGGTGGTTTGGTCCACCAGAGGTCACCCAGCGGGAGGGCGAGGCCAGTCTGGGCCGGGCCACCTTCCTCCAACCACACGGGCCCTGGTCCCAGCCTCGGGAGGAGGCTCCCGCCTGTCCTTGGCCTCCCAGCTGGGAGAGGCCAATGCCCTTTGAGGAATGTTCAGAAAATTGCTTAGGTCAGAAAGGAGAACTTCATTTTTACAAAATGAAACAAATCAGTTGTTTATTTGTCATGGGCAGCTTTTTCAAAATCTTCTTTGTCAGTATTTTGAATTTATTAGCTCCCAGGCAGAAGGAAGAAGAATAACATTTCTATCCATACGCCAAAGTAAGAGACTTGATATACCCTTTGCTCGCTCACTCTTCTTTTTCTTTTTTTTGGATGAAAATTAACTGTGCCACGCTAGTTCTTAATAAAACAAACTTTGAATTCTTCCCACAGGAGACAGAATTGAGCAATGTTCTAAGAACATGTTGTACTCTTTTGGGCACTGAGTAAATGTAATACTGAGAAGATGCTCTAGAAGCTTGAAAGTGCCTCTTGGTAATAGAGTCACCGGGAGAAGTGGCAGAAAGAACAGGGTAGAGAAGCTGGTCCTCGTGGAGGAGGGCTCAGCAGGAGCCGCTGGCTCAGCCTCTTCCTGCCTGGCTGAGGACCTGAGGGCATCACGGAACCCACAGGAAAGGACTCATTTCCCCGTAAGCCAGGGCGTGAACCACTGACCCCTGCTGGGCACACCCGACGCGGTCAGGACCCGGTCCTCTTCTGGACTGGGCGCTGAACTGCACGTCCACCAGCGCCAGAGACAGCATCTCCAGGAAAGGACACGCACCACAGGTCGCTGCACCCACTGCGCTGGCCCTCTCCCAGCAGCTCCCAAACCCCGGGGACGACCGTGTGGCCTTTATTTGTTTAAGGACGACAACCTGAATTAAGAGATGAAGCAATTTATCCCAGGAGGAAAAGCCATTCGAAGAAAGGGGATTTGCACCAGATTCCTGCCGAGACCCCCCCCCAGCCCCCCCCCGCCGTCCCGAGTAGCAAATTGTGCCCTCTTCCTTCCGGGTGGCATTTAAGCAACTGTCACTTATTGCGTCCTTATATTAATTACACAATTATTACAAACGTGTTCCCCCGAAAGAATGTAAACTAAATATGTCATGAGTATCAAGTTAAGCATCTCCAACAGGATCTTTTCATAGGAAGAACGGCTCCTTAGTCCTAGTAACAACAAGTGCTATTTTTTTTCCCTCTTCCCAGCCCGTGGAAACAATGCCGAGGAAAAATTATCTTGTGTTTAGCTTCCAGCGTGATATTGGAGATAAATAACAGTGTCTTTTTTTCTCCCCATCACCCATGCTGTCTTCATTTTTAAGGTAGACAGTTTATTTTAAGAAGAGCAGGAAGGAGAAGCTTTTGGCTCTCTCCAGGTGCCACGTGGCCCTGATGGCCTTTCCTGGGGTCATCTTCCAGGCAAGTGGAGCCATCCTCACCTGCTACACGGAAGCCAGCGCAGCGTTGGCTCTGCCTGAGCGAACCAGGGAGGTGTTGGGGGGCGGGGAGCAGGGGTGTGGATTTGAATCTCCCTTGGATTATTTTAAATTCTTGTGTCGTTATATTTGTGTGTACTTTAAAAATTATAATCTAGCAAATGTTTCAGATTTAAGCCGTGGGTAAAATTTTCCTAACAGAAAATGACACAGTCAGCTGGAAAAATGGAATAGAAAGCAGCACATGCTGTTTCCTTCTTAGGGTTTTTCTATTCGTGTTGGAGCAGAAAGCCCCTCGCCCGCCCTCGCTGCCCCTTTCTTGGGGCGGGTGCCATCTTGATAGCCTTCCTGTGTGAGGTGAGGGGACTGGGGGAGCGGGTTTGAGAACCCCCGCCTCCCCTGCTGTCCGCTGTCAGTCATGCTAACTTCCCTGAGCGCTGATAGTCATATGAGAATGTCTTAGCTGTGTGTGTGAAAGTCACGCCTGTGTTTCACCTCCAGTGTGAGTGCAATTCAGTGTCCTGGGACATGGTCATCCCCTTTGGCCCTCTAAAGGAGTTGGGGTCTGCGAATAGGACTCGTGCTGAGCTGGAGGGCATCTTATGGGCATCATTTCATCTGTTCTCTCCGTCTCCAGCCAGAACTGCATTCCAGACACATGGGTACATGTATACCCTATTCGAATATTCAGGCGTCCTGAGAAGGGGCTCCCAGCCTGTCTGGGAAACCCAGAAGGAGCTGATCACCCCCATGTCTTCCTGCCCATACCTCTGTGGAGATGGAGACTAGGAGGCCCTTGGGAAAGCTTATCCTCAGCCCAAAGCCTGGTGCCTCACCTGTGGGGCCATGGCCCCTGAAGTTTCCCCATCCTAATATCTATCCCATTGTGGTAATAACTGCCATTTATTTGTCTGCACCCCCTGCCGGCTTGCAGACTCCATGAGGACTGGTGCCCGTGTGGCCCACGTTGCGTCTCCAGCACAGTGCTTCCCACATGCTAGATATTCAACATCTGTTTCTTCTGCGCTTCATAAATTTTGTTTTTTGTCGTCTCCTGCCATCCCTGATCTCAGTTAACTTTCCCATTGTGTGTGTGTGTGCACGCGTGTGCGGGAAGAAATGCCTTCATGAGCTCACTCGCTCGCTCTTACCTTCTGCATCCTGTGTTATCGCACAGCCATCGCAGTCTCACTTCCCAAAGGTCTTGTTTGCCGAATGCTGTGGCTTTCCCCATTCCCATTGAGCTTCACCTCCTGCTACAGTTCACATGACGTTACCTCCCCTCCCTGACACCCTCCCCTTTTTCCACCTGCCCAGGCCACCCTTGTGGAGCTCGGCTCAGGCCCCTTTCCTCTGCAGACACCCCCCCGCCCCCCCCGCCCCCTAGTCAGCCTGCCCCAAGCTCATCGAATCCTGAATGACTGTTGTCCCTCTCTGTCAGCATGGCACACTTAAGCCTTACTCGTCCCTATATACTCAACTTCATTCCACATTAGATTCCAAGGTCACGTGCAAGTGTATCCATGTCATCTGCTTAGGCACTTTTCCGGTTCAGCGCGGGGCTCTTAGGAGGCAATCACTGAACGCCTAGCGATGGATTCTAACAGATCTGTCTTTACCCGTCGTGTTGAGAAGTGACTTGTGGTTCTGCAGCATTGTTGTTGGTTAATTCCTCCCTGACAGACGTGACCGTCCCCGTGTGCACCCCCCCATGTGCCTACACCGGACTCTTCTAGGAGCCTCATCTGCCTCATGTCCTCTGAGCCTCATACGGCACCTGGGACATGGTAAACTCAGTGAATCAGTGGTGCTGAGACCAGATAGATGGAAATGCTGGAACATCCTCATCCCAGTTGCGGATCGTATCTGTCCTTTCACAGACTCGTGACTCCTTGTTTTGACGTCCCATGACCTACCCTTTTTCCGTCAGAGAGCCTCAGACCCAGTCTCTATGTGCTGATGCTCGATGGTATTTTAGTCTTTCACACCAATTTTAACATATTGATTGTATATACCTTCTGGAAAATTTATCCAAAATGTTAAATGTGCTGTCCCCTCACAGGGGAATGTGGTGATGGTTCTTTTTCGGGGGGAAGGTTAATGTTTATTGAAAATCTCTGGACCATGGATTTTACTTGAGTTAGTTATATTTTCACAAGTCTGAGAATTAACATTATCATTTCCACTTTACAGTTGAAGAAACTAAAGCTCAAAAAGGGTTAAATAGCTTGTCCCAGGCTGTGTAACAAGTGACAGAGGGAAAATTTGAATCCAGGTCTTTCTGATCCCAAAGCTTATGTTGCTTGTCTCTCTGTTCCCCGCTTAAATGTGCCAATAAATGGGAGTTCCCGTAATGGCGCTCGACGTTGAATAGGCAGTGTCTAAGCACGTTAACTCAGATAAGCTGGT